AGGAGGTGAGGATCCCACGCGGAGTGACCTGGATCCAGGATATGGGGATGGCGGGTGCAGTGGATCTCGAACTTTCGTGGAGTGATGAAGACCACAATCTGTCGTAAGACAATGTTGAGAGATTGGAGGGCTCGGATCCGTGACGGGTGTACACTTGCAGTGAGATGGATCAAGGTGGCCTGGATCCGGACAAGTGTACCCATAATGTGACGACGGTAATGATTACGCCATGGATTCGGTGGATCTGGTGATAATACAGCTGGGATGATGGGCCAAGGAGAAAAAGGACATGCAGTCGAGCCTGGTAGGGAATTTAGCATGTAAAAGACATAAAAGGTAGAAATGCAGACAGGTATAGGCTCAAATATCAATACAGACCTCAATTTGCACAGTATCACGCAAGTGCCTTCCTGCCCTCAAGAATCGAAGCTACATTGGCAGTTCGAGCTCGGTGATGGTTGGGGATTGCGAAACTAGTACTGGTAGTGATAACTGGATAAGACATCGACCAGGTCCTACAACCTAGTGAGCTTTCCTTTACACGTGCAGATCCGACAGGCTAACCGGATTTACTACTTGGCCGGCTACACTCTAGAGGCTCTCAACTCTCAAGATCCCGTCACAAGAGGCGCCAAGTACGACGAAAAGGAAACACAAAGGCAAGAGAACACACCCGCAAGGCAACCCTACGGCCAGATCCACGATCTAGGCCCTGGATCCACTAAGCTCGAATATTCGCTTAGGATCCCGAAACTTCTACGCACCCAGAGTGAAGATCTTACCACTACTGCTATACCCCATCCCCACGTCTCGCCAAGACACTCAAGCGTCACCGTTTGCACGCTTCGGAAGTTACCGAGAGAGCAAGATCCCGCCCTACCGACGGGTACACAAGGTAAGGAAAGTTCAGCAGAACACGGATCATCGGGGGACCCCTCCGTTAGTCGAAGTCTGGGCGCTGTTGATAAGTTGGATCCAGCGATCTCGCAGATTTTGCTGATCCCGCTACACCACAGCATCGTGCGGGGGGAAATGCAGTGCGCGAGCTTTGGGCGCCATCAGCACTAAGCAACCAAGCGTGCTGGGGATGTGAAGACACGTTACACAAGTAATTGCAAAGTGAGTGGGTAGCAAGAGAGGTGGCCTGAAATGGCAGTCTGTGTTACTAATGTGACAAAGGAAACTACTACGAGCTATCGCCTGTTACGGACGCTGGTAAAGTAATCTGAGAATGCTGATGCATACTTTGAACAGGCGCGTAGCTAACATATGGGCCTTCATAAGAGCGGAATGACTGACAATAAGAGTTAGATATAATACACTTCTATACAGGTACTGTAACGGCTCAGCGCACTTGTACCTAATAAGCTAATCCGCAGGCATGTAATGGTACTTATTTTTGAAACTAAATAATGTGCCCTTAAACGATCTAGTAACTATTTGTTTTTAATGTATCTAACTGATAATTTGTGATAGTAGAGGAACAACCACATCTACTACTTTACCCCCCCCCCGCCCTGTTACCGACATCGTAAGTTATGACGTAATCTAAATTGTAAGTCGTAACTAACGACTTATGATATTCTCATATAGTAGTTGGCTCAGAAACGGCGACCCGATACTGAAATCAAGTTTAATTTGGGGCCCCTGTAATAAAGGGCGGGATAGATTTTTTGCTGCTCACACAAAGACAGTACGAGGGAACGGGTTAGAGTGCACCTCTCCCGCTGTCAGGCACTGTCAGCATTTGATGAGTCGCCAGAAGGCTACGTAAATTATCAGTCATTCGAGATTTTGCCGAGTGAGAAACAAGTGAAATGCCGATCCGTGTCAGCGCGAGGACGAAAGCCGCGGCTCAAGCGTCGGCGTCAGCGTCCACGCTAGATGCGCGCCTGGTATACTTCGGTCACCTGTGGCGCCAGCTGATGGCCGACGGGTGGAAGTCAAAGCCACCCACCGAACTGTCGAATGCTTAAAACCGTCAGGCAAAGCTCCTGCAGAGAGGGAGAACATGTTCTATTGTACGGGTTGTTGCTGCTGTATTACTATGGGTCATTTCTAACTTGCTGTTATTATGGGTCATTTTTAACTTGCTGTTCTCCTTCAGGCTCCGCAAATACTACAAGAGCCATTTTCTCGGACTTCTCGACCTAGCGCCCGTCAACGCGTACCTGACGCACAAGAAGGCGAGCCGGCTCGCCCGCTGGCACCCATGAAGCGCTACGAATGGTGAATATGCTGCACAAGCAGCTCCTACAGCTCAGGACGAAGACTTCCGGGTAGCCCCTACTCCGCTACCAGCAGCACGCGAGAGACGGCGCCCTGCATCCTCCGGGCACACCCTCGTGCAATTCGACGACTGGGTGGCTGTTAAGGGTGGCATTCAGAAGAGGTGCCATCGGTCGTGCAAAGTGCACTTGCTATATCGAGGCGAGCTCAAGAAGTCATTTCAGACGACCTATTACTGCCCGGACTGCTCCAACGGCGACGCCAAGTTTTACCTGTGTGGCAAGGCACGCAGAGGTGGCGACAGGGCATGTTTTCAAGTGTGGCATGAAGACTTCGCGTGCTGTGGCGCGCCCCCAAGGCCGTCGGTGTCCGCAAGAAGACTCGCTGTGAGATTCCCCGCGAATGAGAGTGCTGACGAGGAGGCCTATCCGTGAATGCGAAGGAGCGCCAGACGATGTGTAAAACTAAGGATACTGTTGTTTGTTCATAAATAGTTGTTGATTTTTCTTGATTTCTGTCTGTAACTGCCAAAACAATGGATTTGCCGTTGCGACGAATAGTTATGATAATAGTTATTTTCGTCAGCAACGGCATATCTATTTTTTGCCGTTGTCGACGTAAAGTATATTTTTATTCTGACTTTTTATTTATATGTGAGAGCCATCCCAGCTCCTTAGTCCCCCCCCCGACGATGAGTGTGTTCATTGCTTCATAAATTTGAGTTGCTTTACCATATGCTCTGTCTGTTCCTCTTTTTGCATGTCAGTCATCGAAAAGCCCCGCTTTATGTGTGCATTTGCTTGCGTTTTCTCGTATTATATTTTTATGTTCACTCTTACAAAGTCGTAAGTGTCGGTGTCTGTGCCGTTTGGGTCATCCTTACGTCGTATGATATACGACATGTGTCAAAACCTTTGAGAATGTATACCTCCCATCGTGTTGGATAGGCGAGTGGAAGATACAACACCATACAAACGCGCTGGTAAAGGCTACGCGGTAAGTTATGACGTAAAATTAGTTGTTCACGGGCTCATTTGGCGGTAACAGAGGGGTCAATACTAGTATTTATCAAATTTTTAACTTTTTCAGATATCTAGAAATCAGTATCCCATATTATTACATGTAGGAGAAGTTTTACTCCATAGTTATTTACCTTCATGCTACTGTCATCCTCTAATGATTACAATCTCGACAATTGCGGATCCGGGCACAGGTGCGCGGGGAATTTGCATTTTTTAATCACGTAAAATGTTTCGTCGTTCTACTTACTGCCTTTACATATACATATATAATACCAGCACCAAATTTTGTTTATACTTCAAATCTAAAAGACGAAAGGTTAAAAATCCACCGTCTCGTGAAAACGTTTGTCTTCCTGCAGCTTTAAGCTAATTTTAGCAAAGTTGCGCAATCAAGACAAACCACTGTGTGCTTGAGGTTTGTCAAAACCTCTAGATTCTGATATCACTTCGTCATTTAAAATCATTAATGAAAAACACAGTCGGTTAAACTCAATACTCTTCTCTACCTGCTATGGATAGAATTATTACTTTTCATACCACACGAGGCCTAATAGAAATAGAGTGGCTCAGTTTTTGCTTCGCAAAATATTTATGATTGTTGTATTTTTTTCTTTCGCATTTGATACGTTGTGATTTCAGGAACCACCCAATAACTGGAGCAAAAATACATGTAGTGGTAACTTCTTTGAGTTTTCCAGGGTTGAATTTTACTAATAAAAAAAATGCTGCATGCACATGGCAATGTGTCGGCAGTTTAAGATTGTGTATTGTGTGAGAGACATCGCAGAATCTGAGGCGATTGGTATATGAAAATATCTGCTTAGTGTGTTTGTTGCTTTTGGAATTAACCATATCACCGATTTTTTGGCGCGAGTAAGAGAGTCTTACTTATCCTTTTTTTAATTCATTTAGCAGAGACCACACATGGTAGCTATTATTTTTTGTGACCTCAAACGAAGCGCAAAAGAAATAGTGGCGCCAAGGCAAGTATTTGTGGGATTCAAAATAGAATACATTTGCTTTAATTCGATGGTGAATTTAATGCAAAACCGATAGTAAAATGGCACTCCCCACAGGGCACACTTGTAATGCGGCGCCGCTCAGATCCAGCTGACAGCAGTGCTCAGTGTCACTGAGTCAGTGAAAAGTAAATATCATGCAGGGTGTTGAGTGACTCACTGTCGCATAATGCTGAGGCGCTGGGATTCAACTTGAATCCCAGCCTCTAGATTATGCGACTGTGATTGTATCAGGAATTAAAAGATTATGCGACGGTGGGACTCAACATTATGCGAAAATCCTGTACAACACTGAGTCCATAGCACATGTATTGTCGTTGTGACGTGCTGTTGTTAGAGTAACCTTGGACATACCGTAATGTAAGCTTTAAAAAAATAACTCGAGTTTAGCTCCACAGGCAAGTTAATTAATTAAAAACAAAAACGACTCAAAGATCGGTTTATACGTTGGCTAATTCCATATAAAATGGTCGTAGACATAGTCGGGTGAACACGTGGACAGTTTCATGCCTCGTTATGAGTAAACAGTACGATGTTTGTCGCGATTTCGTCCAAGCGAAACATCCAGAATTGCCAATAGTCCGTTTAATTTCTGATGATAACGGCCAATGGCAGTTGGTATTAAATTCTAACGGTAACTTGGGTACTGGTGTATCACGCTTCGTGGTATCCTCACTTCGCAATTTACGCGCCATCTCCCAATCTCCGTCTAACGCCAGCCACTATATTGATGCGTCTTTCTTCCTTCTTCGTAGTGATCGCAGCTACCTTTGTGGCTACCAGCGCGGCTCTCACGGCCCCCAACCAAGTTGACCAGCGTCTTCTGAGGACTCACCACGCGCCTACTCCCGAGTCCGAAGAAAGGGGTATCAGAAATATCCCTCTTAAACGGCTTAATTCGCTGACCAGAAAAATTGACGTTGACGTTCCAAGAATCGCTGTCAGGAACGACATTACCTACTTCAATGGTCTCAGTAACGCGGCTCGGGAAAGGTACACCGAGGGGCTCAGCAAGCTGCTAAAAAGATTTAGGACCGCAAAGGCTTCACGCATCACATCTTCGTAAGGTGTCGTCGAACCCAGAGCAATCTGTGTCAAGTCCAGCACAAGCATCATGTAATTTCAGTAGCAGCTGAAAAGTGCAGTGATCGTAATTTACGGGTTCTAGCTGCAGTGTTGCTCGAATATTACTATCAGCTGTTAAATGACTCAATAAGCATGGGGGGGCTGACATTTCTATTCGCAGCTCGAAGAGCAGTTGATTACTGCGCCTTGCTGAACTTGTATGGCTTTGTGATACATATTCTAATTCATACCTGCTCTTGAGTTTCATGACGAGCTCGGCTCCCGACCACACGGCACTTGTCAAAAGATGCTGTGAGTAACGCGAATTATATGTACAGGTAATGGAGTTTAAGACACTGTGTAGTCTTTGACGAACTCCTTACAGGGGATACAATGTTATGCATTTCCTTGGGACCGGGTCGCAGGTGCTTTGTCGGCGAGTTGACGAGCGCTTATATAAAGTTACTGGCGTTTCGTGACTAACATGGTGGCTGCACAACTTTAGTAATGTTTGCATGATGATGCAGGATGTATAATAGCTGCTGAAATGACAAACACTGCGGGTGGCGCAACTTCGCTAAGTTTAGCGTAATATTGCAGGCTAGAATAATTTTCATGGCTCTACAGTAACACAGTTCTTCGAACTGCGAAATGTTAAGGAAAGTTGCTTGATGACGAATATCGCTGGAACTAGCAAACGCATAATCGTAATTTACATGTACTACATGTATTTTTTCGCAGAAGGGGCGACAAAATCGCCGCGTAAAGGCAACATAGCATGGACGAATATGCGTACCAAATAAAAACTATGTGATTTCAGGAAGTACCCATTAACAGCACTAATTAGGACCAAAATAGCATTCAATAATAAATACCTTAAAAAATGCGACCTTCACTAACGCTAGTTACATTAATTTCTTTTAAGCAATTCCTACGAACCATATTTCTCTTCGTTCTCCAGTGGAGACAAAACCTGGTTTTTGTCTCCAGTTGTGTTGTTGTGCACGCTGACCAATCAGGGATGATCTGAAATTCTCCTCCTTCAGGTGGAGAGCCCCCTCGACCATGCTCTTACGGTCAGCAATCATTAGATTACATCAAAAGTTGTGTTTTTTACACACTGTATGAAAAGGCGCTCGATCTCGTATAAACGTCCATCACATCACGTGGCGGCCGACACGACGGGGGGCTTCTGCTTGAAGACAGTCTTGTGTCTTAGTAACCCAGAATACACCGGCTACTTTCTTTCACGGCTCTAGGTCGAATTACAAAGACACACTTAATTGCAGTCTTCTTCTCTTGTCGAGGTCGTGTATCTTATTTAAGCCGACGTAGGAGCTTAGACGTAATAGTTGAGTAAAAGTAATTGTTTCTTATCTCTGTTTCTTGAGCGCTTCTCGTAAAAGAAGGAAATTCACGACCGCGAGCTCCCTCACCAGCTCTCTAACTTACGATAGTAGATCCTTCCAGCTCTCATACCTCCAGTTGTTGTTGTGCGCTTCACCATCGCCCCCCTGGCTGGGCCTCTTGGTTCCACTTTAGACTAGGGACGTGGTTGTCTGCGTCGAGGAACGAGACTGGTCGGGCATGACACTCTTCTTGCGCCGCGCGCTAAATAGCCGTAGAAGGTCGTCCAGAATAGCGAGTCCTCCGCTAGCCGAAGACCGTGACATTTCCGCCCGACTGCCGCTCGCAGTCCTAGCCGAGCCTCGTTCCCTCCAGCAGGTCCGACAGTCGGGTCAGCTGTCAGATCTGGAACGATCGACGTCGTTCCAATTTGGGTGGATCCGAGTCCCCATCCGCAAGCGACATTCTATCACTAGGACCTGCCTACAAAAGGTCGAGGGTAGCTCTCTCTCTCCCTTCACGACGCTCCTTTCGGCTCCCGAGCTTTGTCCAGCCCGCTGAGCGGTCGCGATACCAGAACGGTCGGCTCCATTTGCTCGCGTAGCCTAATAGTTTCTCGTAGCCTTACTATAACAGCCTAGTGTCAAGACAGACACTTTACAGTAAATGCACGAGATCGAGAATTCCAGTATCACGTTCACCACTTGTCAATCCCAAATTTAATCATTCAGTCCAAGTGACTTTGTTCCCCAGTAACACTCCACTATAACTCCTGATGTACCGTTTTGCCTAGTGTTCCAATATGTAAATACAATAATGCAGTTCAGTGTCTTGGGACTCACTCGTTCTCAAGCACCAATAAGCGTGAAGCGGTCACGCTCCACTCGTTCCAACTAGTCGGATGGCCGGCTAGAAAGCTTTAATGAAGGGTTTGTGTGGTAGTTTGTAGCACTTCCGCATCGTCCACATCACCGTTGGTTTCGACCAACCTGATACTTCGACGTAACTCCGACAGACCTTCTTCTTGAGGCCAGCCTCCTCAAAATCGCTTCCCAAAATCTTAAACGCAGGAGCCAAAGCAGCTCATGGTAACCAAATCGTCTCGTAAGTTGCTGTTAGTATCAGGTACTGCAGCTCGCCTTTTTCCATCTTTTTTATCATGTCCACAATGGGCGACAAAGCACCGGCAAAAGCTGTCTCCTCACCTCCAATCGACAATCGTTCCACAAAAGTCAGCGGAGGCAGATCATTCTCTTGTAGTGGTTCAGTCTCCCTTCGCATATCATTCTCTGTCGCGTTTTCGATCGTCACGCGATTACTCGTCCCGTTCTCGGCTGTCACGTTCTCGCTCGTCGCGCTCTCACTCGTCACGTTTTCGGCCGTCCCTCCGGGTACTTTGTCCGCGAAAGGTCGACTCCAACGACCAAGGAAACGTTTCGAACGACTCACGTTCACAGCGACATTCCTATCGGGGATGTCTAGGAATTGCTATCTTGTAGGCGTTCTCCCCGACTTGGCTGACAATGCGGTACGGGCCGTGCCAAGAGAACGCCAACTTCGTCGTCTTATGTTCGTCAGCTTTTGCCCTGAAGTACTGATAGACTCAAATGGGGTCGCCCACCTCATACGTGACCTTGACTTGTTTATTCAAACGCTGCTCGTGACGATCTTGAGACTTTAGTAGTTGTCGTTACACCAGACGCCTTGAGTCACGTAACCACAGGTACAATTTCCTTCGATACGCTGCAGCTTCGTTGCTTTTCCAGTCCTTCCAAGTGTTGAAAAAGGCTAAGTCGATCGGCAGGACTGGGCTACGACCGTACAAGCTGAAGAAAGGAGTGTCTCCAAGACCCTCATGGTAAGCAGTTCGGTAGGTCAATAAGATCCTAGGCAAATAGATGTCCGAATCGGACTGAGTTTCGCTCACGAACATCTTGAGTATCCCTAACAACGTTCTATTGAATCGTTCCACCAGTCCTTGAGTTTGGGAATGGTAGGCTGCTCCAAACAACTTCTTGACCCCTAGCGTCTGATACAACGATCGTGCCAAATTGGACGTGAAGTTCGTTCCACGGTCACTAAGCAATCGTTCCGGAACGCCATGTCTACATATGACACCTTCAATCATAGCGTCCACAAAGGAGATCGTGTCCAGAGACGCAACTGCGAAAGCTTCAGCCCTTCTAGTGCAGTAATCCACAAACACCAAGATATATTTTTTCCCCGTGGTGTGACCACCAACGGACCGACGGCGTCAACTACCAGTAACGAGAACGGTCCCGATAGTTCCTGGATTGGCCTCCGACCTTTACCACCACTACAAATGGAACATTCTTTCACGTATTCGACCACGTCTTTTCGCCACCCGTGCCAGTAAGCATGGCGTCTTACTTTTTCCAAGGTATTCGTCTTCCCCAAATGAGCTGAGAAAAAATCGGCGTGACAATAATGCAGAACTGTCTCGATGAACGGTAATGGAACGACAGGAACGGTTGCGGTCCGAGCAGGAACGGTTGCGGTCCGAGCAGGAACGGTTGCGGTCCGAGCAGGACCGGCATGAGCCCTTAAGTGCACAAGACGCATTAGGACCTCGTTCTTCATCAGGTGATGCGGAGTCGGTTTCAGCACTGTCACGCTGAGTTGAGGATCCAAAGCCAAAGCTCCGTCCTTTAGAAAGGCTCTCATGGCACGCATCTACGGTACTCGCTCGTGTTCTTTCACGAACTTTTCATAGTCCAACCCGAGCACATCGATAGCAGAAGGTAGAGAAGGCGGAGCACCCGTTTGTAGTTCTTCTTCATGTTCTTCCTGGGTGCTCTCGCTGGTAGGGTTACATCTTCAGCATGCTCCCCGACTGGAACTGAACTGTCAGTCACGTTCAAGTTCTCACTCACTTCCAAAGACAACGTTCCAAGCCCATCGGGAGGATCGTCTCGCTCTTCGTTCAAGAGATCATTCATCGTGACAGTACTTATTATCCCTTCTTCAGGGCGGTGATAAAGTCTCGACAACCCATCCGCATGCCCCATTGACGTTCCAGCCTTGTGATACACCTTAAACCTCAGTTGTGACAGCTCCGCAGCCCATCGTGCTAACTTGGCATTCGACGTTCGCGTATTGTCACTAAAGATCCACGTAGGTGTTTGATGGTCCGTAAACATGTCCAATTTGCCGTGGTCGAGGTAGCATTTGAACTTTCGCGTAGCCCAGACAATATCCCAGCATTCAATCTTGGTAGTGCCACAGGTCTTGTTGATCCAATTCCGTTGAGATCCTACCAACATCTTGCTAGCGTAGGCAACCGCTCGATCACGTTTGCCAGCTTCCTGCATTAGACACGCCCCCACCGCCAAATGAGACGATCTACATAGAGATTGAACGTCTTGTCAAAGTTGGGATATACCAGTATAGGAGGTTTCACCAAAGTCCGTTGGAGTTGTCGGAACGTCTTTTCACAATCTTCATTCCCTTTGAAGTCAACCTCTTTCTGTTTCAGTCGTTCCAAAGGAGCGGCAATTGCAGCGAACCCGGGTATGTAGCGTCGAAAGTAACTCGTCAATCCAAGGAAAGCACGAACAGTGTGAAGTCATGTGGCCTTCCAATGTTCATCACGGCCTTCGCCTTCTCTGGGCTCGGTAATGTGCCCGTAGGTGT